CAGCCATTTTTGCGTGGTCGAATAACAAACATAATATAAACTTTCTTATTTATTGTATTAGTATATTATACATATACACTATAATATGATTATATAGTACTTTTATTGTATATTGTAATAGTATGTAACTGTATAGTATAAAAACAACTGGTTTTTTTTTGTGATCATTGTTTTGTTGGGCCGATGAGTTCACTATACACCTTGTATTAAAAGGAGAATAAATAAAATAAATAAATAAATATTTACTAACAATCACGCCACGTTAACAGACAGTCGCACTACATGGTGATCTAACACTGTATGCTGATGACACGTGCTTATTTTACTACGGACACTCCATTCACGATGTATTATCCAAAGCCCAGCAGGACCTAGATTTATTATACAATTGGTTTCAGTACAATTTGCTGACTATAAATGCAGCTAAGACTTCTTACGTAATCTTTAAACCTAAAAATAAAATTATTCAGGATTTTGCACCGCTTACTATAAATGGCGAAAAATTACGAAATAGTAACGAAGAAAAATACTTAGGATTAACTATAGACAGCGGCTTGACGTGGAAAGCACACATTCAACATATCCAAAATAAATTGTCGTGTTTAACAGGATCTTTGCGCGGGACCGCCCAGTGTTTTCCTCGTCGAGTCTCTCTCATGATCTACAATTCGTTGGTTAAACCTCATCTTCAATATCTGATTGAGGTATGGGGTAGCACTGCTGACACGAACTTAAAGGAATTGCAGCGAACACAAAATAAAATAATCAAATTATTATTCCACTACGATTACCTGACACCCACCACAAAAGTCTATAGTGAAACCAAACTTATGTCTGTAAAACAACTGTATACCTATAGCACTTGTTTACTAATAAGAAAAATATTACACAAGGAGATACATTCTAAATTGACGTTTACTAAAAAAAAGGAACTTCAAAACTATCGTAATCGAAATGCCGAAAACTTAATCACTACCAGATCTAGAACTAACTATGGACAACGAAATATATCATCTGAGGGTGTCAAACTGTATAATATGCTGCCTTTAGATTTAAAAAATATCAAGTCATTGAATGTATTTAAAAATAAATGTAATGATTATATAAGAAAAAATGTTCCCATAATATAGTTTCTAAGATAAATTTGTTAATAATAATAATATCCATTTATTTCAGACAGTTACATCCATGGAAATGATAGTATTGTTACTTAAGCCTACGTTAATAACTAAAAATACTAAATTCAATTTAAAGTAATTACCCAATTCCATTAATTTATTTTCGTTTATTTAACAATAACTTCATATTTATACCTAAATATAAACAGGAAAGAAATATAATAAACAATGAAATGAAAAAACAACGAAACTAACAACCTGCAAACATTTAACCAATGCCACATCCATGCGAACTAGCTCCTTGTGGCGCCAATATCTACCCGCCACCGAGCGGCCGGCCGGCTGGTCGAGGCGATCTGCTGTGGTAATTAATCTACCCTGTTTATACATTTTAAGAAAATAATAATCTTTATAGTTTTTGTTAAATGTATTGTTTATAGCATAGCGTCGCATGTTGTTACTGTAAATTATTGTCATGTACTGCACGATCTGAAGTAATTGTAACTATTTTAATGTTCTCATTTAAGTGAATTTATGTAATTCTTTTGAGAATAAAGAATATCTTTAACCCGAACTGGTCCCGTGATAAGTTCGTAAAGAGCTTGTGTTACAGGTACCAGATAACGGATATAAATGTAAGATTTTTATTATACACATACATATATTTAATATACATCCATAACCCTGGAAACACATTTATATTTATCATACAAATATCTTCCCTTGGCGGGATTCGAACCCGCGACCCCCTTGTGTAGTGACCATGTCACTCACCACTACACCAGACGGCCGTTAATTAAATGAAACAATAAAAAGAAAATCGTCATTGAGGAATGAGGTCGTTGTCTCAATTAAGACGGGTAACGGCTGTCTCACTCTTAAAACCTTATCTCATAATACTAACACACGGCTAGAAACATTCGCAATCATGCGACAATATGAGACAACAACACAAAATTAAGAAGCAACTAGAAAAATAATAATTTAAAAGCAAAAATTATCACTTGTTTTGTTGAATATTCTTCTTTATTAAAACACTTTTGTTTCAACATTAATAATGGTCTAGTAATTTCGTACCAGACAAAATAAATATATGTATATTGTTTTTATGTACGTACGTAATGTATGTATGCACGTTGGTCGCGCATTTGTTCAAATATCAGAACAATGTGGCCTGACTGCTTTGTGACGTCATCGTTGCTATGAAAACCAAAAGCATTGCAAACCCTTGTCTTCTAGACGACCGCGTATTGCTCACTGAGTTTCTCGCCGGATCTTCTCAGCGGGTCGCGTTTCCGAGCCGGTGGTAGTAGATTCTACAGAGCACTGCTCTTGCTAGAGTCAGTGTTAGCAGCACTCCGGTTTGAGCCCCGTGAGCTCACCTACACACGTTAGGGTGAAGCTGAAATAGCCTCTCAAGGCTATCAGCATAGGTAGGAGAAAAAAATGTATATATAGGACCACGGTAATATCGTCCGGTGGTAGATTCTGCGAGGCACTGCTCTTGCTAGGGCTAGTGTTAGCTAATTCACTCAGGTTGAGCCCGTGAGCTCACCCACCCTTCCGGGCGTAGCTGCTTCATAGGCTATCAACTTTCAACATTATTTTTTACTAGCTGACCCGGCAAACTTCGTAATACCTCAATCGATAAATAAAATACCTAAACTTTTGTATAAATTAAACTTACAACAAGCAAAATAATGCTCGGAATTGAATAAAAATAACAATTTTGTTTTTCCTTTGATGTGTCCGCCGTCGAACGGATTCCTTTTGTTTGTTTTAAACTTAAAACAACTTTTATACAAAAGTTTAGGTCTTTTATTTATCGATTGAGGCACTACGAAGTCTGCGGGTTCAACTAGTATAACAATAAAATGTATCCATCATTTTGAAACAACACGCTTGCAAGTCTACACAATAAACATACAAACTATCTTAATTAGTAAGTAAAGTTAATTAAACAACAGTTATATGTTTGCGTTTCCGCGTCCGGAAAACGACGCACTTCCGGTAGACATCTTGCACGTTTCCCAACCATTGTGTCTCTAATTGTAATGGATGGAAAGCATCGTTTGTTTTATCACATTCAATTGTGCTCGATTTAATTTTTAGTGATGTCGTAATTACGGTGCGTTGAGCCGATATTACACTAAAACTGAGAGTCGTGTCTTAAGATGATATTAGTGTTGAAGCCATGAGGTCTATAGGCTTTGGTCTGGTCATCAATAACTTAAAAAGACCTATAATAATGTTGATTCCTTAGTCAATTTCTCTTCAAGTGCTGTACTAAATGACTTTTTATTTTAACTAATATTTGTTTAATTATCGCAATTCTAACATAATCCAGATTTAGTATCATTGGGCAATTTCTCTTTACTTCTGTTAGTGATTTGTAAAAAATAAAGAACGTCAATTGTTAATGCCAATAAAAATGTCTGCTGACAAACAGAATAGAGAATGATAATATCTAAATTTGTATGCCTCCGATAGACTCTGAAACGATTGGGCCGATTTCAATGAAGTTTTCATGAAATTTTAAGATTGAATTAGCAGATCATTTGACAGTGATCGGATTAAAATCAAATCAAAGACGGATTAGCACTGCGGGTCCGGGTTTATCTAATTATCTATCAGTAATGGAGAATGCTAATTGCAGGATTTGTTGTATTAATTTAATTTATTAATTTATCGATGTATGCATTAAATAATAGAGCGTGCGGCTCAATTGATTTTGTATGTCATTTTAAGCCAAACACATATAGTCCTTTATATCTTTACTCTTCCGGCTTAGTCATCAAGTGGATCTAAAATAGGTTATATACCGATAATTTAATATAATAATAATATGCATAATAATAAATACCAGCCCTCTGGGCACGCTGCCAAGCGTTTTTTTTTTTTAATTCCTACCTAAGCTGAGAGCCTTGAGAGGCTATTTCAGAGTAACCCTAACGTTTGTAGGTGAGCTCACGGGGCTCAAACCTGATGACGTTGCTAACACGAACCCTAGCAAGAGTCGTGCTTCGCAGAATCTACCACCGGATCGGAAACGCGACCCACTGAGAAGATGCCGCGAGAAACTCAGTGGGCTGTGTCTGAGAGTTAATTTACTCGTCGAGCCCTTCGTCGCAAGCGACGGGTTCGACGAGAACGGTGACCGGTGCTTGAAGTACCTAAAAGCACCGTTAGTGGATCAGGAGGATCCGAGATGACGTGTTTTGGGCGACGTCGACTGCTTTCCATTCTGTCCGCAGGATCGGGAATGTAGTTACCGNCGTCGACTGCTTTCCATTCTGTCCGCAGGATCGGGAATGTAGTTACCGGCGGCCACGATGAGAGGGTTCTCGTGTCGTGCCGCTTTATCGAAGTGGCGCATCGACGCCGACTGCATATACTTACTGGTGGACTCTAAGTCCAGGTCGTCGTGGAGGTCGACGTTCCTGACGAACCACGGGGCTCCGACGGCTATCCTGCAAAAACGATTGAATGATTTGGAAGGATTTTAAGTGAGTGCGGGCCGCGTGAGCGAACACTACACTTGCATAGGTCATGACGGGGCGTATGCAAGTTTTGTAGAGTGTCACCTTATTTCTAAGGGACATTTTACTTCTCCTACATATCATCGGGTAGGCTGCCAAGCGACCATGGCTTTGCACAGTTATAGTTTTTGTAAATATTTCTCTTTTTAGTTAGGCTGTGTTATATTATGTATAGAAAATTCATTAAAATTACTTTTACCGTTTTATTAAATGTAAAAAGTAGACCATGGAATTTTAATGAATTGGGCAGCTCGGGATCAGGGTAAGACTTCTGTCTGCCAGCGCATTATTATAAGTACGTGACTGGAATCTGACCAATAACCATAAATCTTTTTCTTGATAGGAGTTGGAGCAGGAGAAACATCTACTTCGCCGGCGTCTGGACACCACCCAGGGAGAATATGAGGCCAGGATTCTGGAACTGCAGAACGACATCAAAGAACTATCGGTCAAGATTGATACGAGAGATACCTCTGTCAAACAGGTAAACGATTATCTTTTTATGGCTTAGATGGGTGAACGAGCTCACAGCCCACCTGGTGTTAAGTGGTTACTAGAGCCTATAGACATCCACAACGTAAATGCGCCACCCACCTTGAGATATAAGTTCTAAGGTCTCAAGTATAGTTACAACGGCTGCCCCACCCTTCAAACCGAAACGCATTACTGCTTCATGGCAGAAATAGGCAGGGTGGTGGTACCTACCCGCGCGGACTCACAAAACTGGTCCAACCACCAGTAAAAATCTATACTAATATATAAATCTACAGTGGTTTTTACGGATGTTCCGTTATAACTACTGAACCGTGTATCCGATTGACTTGAAACTTGGTATCCATGTAGAAAATACATGTACTTAATGAATAGGCTAATATTTATATGAGTGTTGGACTCCCTACACCAGTTGCGGGGGCGTTAATTATGAGAATCTTTGTGGGGGTGAGAAATAATAATGTTAATTTTAAATGCCCAGCGAAGCGGACGGGTACAGCTAGTATTATATGAATTGAATTCATTTTGTCAATAAATCGCGAAGTTATCATACGTTTCAGTTTGAGGGGCAGTACAGTCGGCATAAAACGAAATTGAAAATTCGATCTCATGTTTCAAAGTTTTTTTTTATGGCTTCGATGTGTGGACGAGCTCACAGCCCACCTGGTGTTAAGTGGTTACTGGAGCCCATAGACATCTACAACATAAATGCGCCACACACCTTGAGATATAAGTTCTAAGGTCTCAAGTATAGTTACAACGGCTGCCCCACCCTTCAAACCGAAACGCACGGCAGAAATAGACAGGGTGGTAGTTTCAAAGTATCTTCTGGCATTCTCGTTGAGATGTCTACAAGTCCGTAATTTCATGCAATTAGAACTTCGAAATGAGGGTTCCAGTTATTTTGGTTATTGGTTCTGGAAAGCGCTTAAAATGAAACGTAACAATAAATACGAGAACCGTTGATAAACAATTCATAAGAGTTTACAGGAACATTTTATTATCGTTCACAAAGTAAGTTATCCTTTTTAGGGAATGCAAATTTCGAAACTGATTAAGAAATACATTCCGATGATTATGTTATGTTGAAACATTTTTATGTATGCACACATACATATCCGTGTGATCTTGTGCAAGCTGGAATAACGAACTGTTCGTCACACATATAGACAACTGTCCACATGTGGACAATGATCGAACTTTTGATAATTATAATGAAAAGGAAGGAAGGAAAAGAAGATTTACCAATGTACCTCGGAAATTGTATTTATATTACCGGCCCACCCGGTGTTAAGTGGCTACGGGAGCCCATAGACATATACAAAGTAAATGCCGCCACCCACCTTGAGATATAAGTTCTAAGGTCTCAGTATAGTTACAACGGCTGCCCCGCCCTTCAAACCGAAACGCATTACTGCTTCACGGCAGAAATAGGCAGGGTAGTGGTACCTATCCGCGTGGACTCACAATAGCTCCTACCACCAGCAATACCCACCATCTAATCCTATGAAAAATGCAACCTGACCGTCGCAGTTTCAAACCGACGACTGATGTTCGTTAAGTGAAAATACAATTTAAAATCTATTTTTACGTTAAAACAATAGAGCGTGCGTTTGAACAAATCGCCCAACGTCCTTGACCCTTACCAAAAAAACATTCTTTGTCTAATATTCGGATGTAATTAACATTGGTAATAGCCACTTCAGCTGGTAAACGACTCAAGGTCTACTGCGGTGGTATTAACGGCGAGGTATTCCACTCGAGCGGTGAAATATCATTGAATAGTGTTGGTTGAACTGATAGTGGGTAGTGCAGTAGAATTAGGTAACATAGTTCATTTTTTTATTATGTTGCTTAGGGCGGTGTACGAGCTCACAGCCCATCTGGTGTTAAGTGGTTGCTGGAGCCCATAGACATCTATAACGTAAATGTCGCCGCCCACCTTGAGATATAAGTTCTAAGGTCTCAGTATAGTTACAACCGCTGCCCCACCCTTCAAACCGAAACGCATTACCGCTTCACGGCAGAAATAGGCAGGGCGGTGGTACCTACCCGTGCAGACTCGCAAGCGTGTCCTACGGCCAGTAATTACGCAAATTATAATTTTGCTGGCTTAGTTTTTATTACACGATGTTATTCCTTCACGGACGGTTAGCATGGTATGGACATGTGATGCGTAGAGAGAAGATGCATGTGACTAGGAGATGTATGGAAATAGTAGTGCAACGTTGAGGGGGAGGAGGTCGACCGAAGAAGACATGGATTGAGTGTGTGATTGACGATATGAGGGAGAGAGAGGAGTGAGTGTTGAAATGACGGCTGATAGAAGAGAATGGAAGAGAAAAATCGCTATGCTGACCCCACCCAGTGAGATAAGGTGGAGGAATAGAAGAAGTTATTCCTTCACCGTGGAAGTCAATCGTGAACATTTGTTAAGTACGTATTTCATTAGAAAAATTTGTACCCACTTGCGGGAGTCATATTAACGTAACCCTAACGTAGTGGCAGTCACCACAATATCGGATACCATAAAAGTAAATAAACGTGTCTAAATTTTTTGCTTCGTTGTAATCCTATTTCGTGTCGCATTGGCGAGTCCCGGACTCACGTTTTCGATGACGGGTCCGTATTGCAACGTGATCGAATTTAAGCACCTCTCCTAATCTCATTAATGGGGCTTTATTCGACTCACTTTACGAGTGAATCTAGCTATTCAGTGTAAGGGGATCAATGTGGATTACTTGTGAGGGAATTAAATATCGACTTGTTTTTTTTTTTCAATTCTTAACATCATGAGAAATGAGTTTTGGAGTTTTTTTTTATAGTTTAGATTTTTGGGGAGCTCACAGCCCACCTGTGTTACATAGTTACCGGAGCCCATAGACATCTACAACGTAAATGCCGCCACCCACCTTGAGACATGAGTTGTAAGCTCTCACTTTTAACACTATAACGGCTGCCCCGCCCTTCAAACCGAAACGCATTACTGCTTCACGGCAAAAATAGGCAGGGTGGTGGTACATATCCGTGCGGACTCACAAGACGTCCTACCACCAAGTAAACCAAATTGGTCCAGCCGTTCTCGAGTTTTAGCGAGACTAACGAACATTTTTTTCCCTACCTATGCTGATAGCCTTGAGAGGCTATTTCAGCTTCGCCCTAACGTTAGTAGGTGAGCTCGCGGGGCTCAACCGGAGAGTTGCTAACACTGACCCTAGCAAGAGCAGTGCTTCGCAGAATCTACCACCGTATCGGAAACGCGACCCACTGAGAAGATCCGGCGAGAAACTCAGTGGGCTGTGTCTATGGGTTAGTTCGCTCGTCGAGCCCTTCGTCGAAAGCGACGGGTTCGACGAGGACGGTGACCGGTGCTTGTGGTGCCTAAAAGCACCGTTAATGGATCAGGAGGATCCGTAATGACGTGCTTTGGGCGACGTCGACGGTTTACCATTCGGTCTACTGGGTCGGGTATGTAATTTCCAGCAGCTACGATGAGAGGGTTCTCATGTCGTGCTGCCTTCTCAAAATGGCGCAGCGATGCCGACTGTAGATACTTACTAAGAGAGTCGAGCTCCAGGTCATCGTGGAGATCCACATTCCTAAGGAACCATGGCGCTCCGACGGCTATCCTGCAGAATCGTGATTGAGACTAACGAACAGCACTTCATTTTTATATATATAGATAATGGAGTAGAAAAGGTAGAGGGGGAAGAGGTTGACCGAAGAAGACATGGACGGAGTGTGTGAATGACGATATTAGAGAAAGAGAGGAATGAGTGTTGAGATGACGGCTGGTGGAAGAGAATGAAAGAGAAAAATTACCTGTGCCGAGCCGACGTAGTGGGATAAGGTGGGGAAAAAGAAGAAATATATTTATTTATTATTATTGTTATATAATATATTTTAGAAAATGTAATCTCTTTGTGATTTGGACACAAGCAAAAGTGTACAGCCAAAAAAAAAACCTAGTAATGAATACAAATTTAATTAACGCTGTAATTGTAACAACAAAAAAAAACATCTTTCATACAAAATAAACATGACCGCTTGTGTCATTATTGTTTAGGTCGATACTGAAATGACGCAATCCCCGTGTAATTTATAGGGAGTTTCCATTTAATAGCCTAAACTAAGGCTTTCGAGGGTCAATTAGTAAATTAGAGGCGCACCTTTGAGGCTCTAACGTGTATATACCGCTTGAGAAGCCTAGCTCAAGCTTTTCATTAAATTATTATATATAAGTATTGTGCTATTTCATGTTTACTTAGCTAATTCAGCGCTAGTTGGATGTAGGTAAATACAGGTGAACCTACATCAGCGCAAAAGTGGCCTAAGCTTCCCATAGTTAATATGGAGGCAATCAGATTTGAATTTTCATGAATTTGAATTTGAGTAAGCAAAAAAAACAATACGCGCAAAAATAATGTTTACAAAGCTATCTGTTATCTATGGGTGAAACTATGGATAGGCCGGTTTTGCATCAAAATTAATTATATTTTAAACTAGCTGACCCGGCAGACTTCGTAGTGCCTCAATCGATAAATAAAAGACCTAAACTTTTGTATAAAATAAACTTAAAACAAACAAAAGGAATTCGTCCGACGGGGGACACATCAAAGGAAAAACAAAATTGTTGTTTTTATGTGATTCCGAGCATTTTCATATTTATTTACCTTTTAAACCATGTCTGGACTTCCACAAATAATTGAAGACCTAAATTAGCCAATTTGGTCCAGCCGTTCTTGAGTTTTAGTGAGACTAACGAACAGCAATTCATTTTTACATATAGAGATAACTTCCCATATACGTCAAATAAGCCTGAATATAAAAAATTGTGGGTTAGACCACTTTTGCGCTGATGGCCTCAGTTGTAAGCAATATTGTGTACAAACTCAGCACATTTGTCTTGTTTAGTCGTCCGCACAGGTCTTATGTTACAAGCCAGATTTCTTACTTGTTGTTATTTATAGTGTACCTTTTTAGCTTGCAATG